GTAGATTTCTGACTCCAGTCCTGCGCCGCTGAGCTTGGCCTCCAGCTCGGCGCTGTCCAGCGGGCGGAAGTGGGTGGCGCTGGCGTCGGAGAGAAGGACTGTCCAGCTCCATGATGTGGTCGAGGCTCTTGCCGTAGATCACCGAGTGGGCGCCGCAGGTGTTGTTGCCGATGTCGCCGCCGACGCAGGCCCGGCTGGAGGTGGTCGGGTCGGGCGCGTACATCAGGCCGTGGGGCGAAGCAGTTCCGGTTCAGCTGGTCCAGCACTATGCCCGGCTGCACTCGCGCCCACGAGGCTCTCACGGTTGACCTCAACGACCTGGTTCAGGTACTTGCTGAAGTCCATGACGATGGCGTGATTGACCGTCTGTCCGGCCAGGCTGGTGCCCCCGGCGCGTGGCAGCACCGGCACGCCGTTCTCTCGAGCCACTTCGATGGTCGCCTGCACATCTGCGGCGCTGCGCGGGATGACCACGCCCACCGGCTCCATCTGGTAGATGCTGGCGTCGGTGCTGTACAGCACTCGGGAGAAGGGGTCGAAGCGCACCTCGCCTGACACCCTCTGGCGCAGTTCCTGCTCGAGTTCGCGCCTTTCCGATGCCCGGATACGATTGGCGGTCGTGGCAGCCATGGTCTTCCTCCTCTGCCAGCGTCTGGTTCTTCACTTATAAAGCAAAAGGGGCGGATATGAAACCCGCCCCTTCGTGGTTCAGCCTTTGAATGTCCCTATTCTACATCAAGAGCCATCTGCCGATTTGGTATCAGGTCCTGGCTTTTTCGTCGCGTTCAGTTTTTCCATGATGCCTGGTCCGGTGGTCACTTGAGGCCTGGGTTGTCAAGACCGACGAGCCGGTTCACTCATCGGAGCCCGCCGCAGGAGCCTGGTCCTGGGCATCGGCGTTCGCCGTCCGCGACCGGACACGCGGTGCCGGGGCCTTCAGGGCCGCTTCCACCTGTGTTCGGAGCTTGCGGTTCTCGTCTTCCAGGTCGTCAATACGGTCTTCCAAGCCGATCACGCGCTCGAACATTCGGTCAATCTGGCCGCGCGACGGCATGTTCAGCGCCTTAAGCATCGTGTCCTGCTGCGGTTCCGTCGCCTTGTCCATCCTCTGCTGCCAGACGAGAGTCTGCTCCATGTACCGCCCCAGCATGTTGGCAAAGGCTTCCGTGCCCATAGCCTCAGCAAAGGTCTTGGCCATGGTCTCAAGCTGCTCAGTCCACTGCTTCTGGGCGTTGAGCAGGACCTCGGGCCCTGGCGTACCCGAAGCCATCACCTGTTGCACCTGCTCGGCCCATTTGCCGTAGAACTGCTGCCACATCTGCTGCAAGTCATTGCCTGAAAATGGCGGCACAAACTGAGCGAACGGGTTGGACCCCGGGTTGGAACCCGGCGAGCCGCCGAAACCGGGCATCTGGCCGAAGCCCGGAAAGGCCGGAAAGCCCGGCCCGGGCATTGTGCTCCCCGGTGCCGTTCCGAAGAATGGAGGCCAGAATGCGGTGCCGGGACCAGCCGCGGCAGCCTGCGCCCAGGCCTCGGTGGATTTCTGGAACATTTCCCGCCAGTATTCGAATGGGTTGGCGGTGCTTTCTTGCGTGGTCATTCCCTGTAGCTCCTGTCGGTCCTGCTACTATCCGGTATGCGCCGAGACCCATTCGTCTATCTTGGGCCACAGCGTCTGGTGGGCCTGCCGGCCTGAAAATACGGAAATGTGGCCGCCGGGGAGTTCAACGTATTCCTTGTCCTCGCTGGAAACGACATCCATCAGGCCCCGGGCGCATGAAGCGGGGACTATGAAGTCCTGGTTCGCGGCCACGACCAGCAGCGGCTGGGTTATGCGCGAGAGGTCCACCCTGCGTCCGTTCAGGATGAATTCGCTATTGAACAGCCGGTTCTTGGCGTACATATCCTGCGAAAGCTGCTGGAAGAACCGGCCGGGCATGCCGATGAAGTCGTTGGCCCACCGGCTCATCGCCTTGTACCCGTCCGCGTAGCCCGGGCGGTTGATGTTGGCCCACAGGCCGGAGAGGGCTTGCGCCTCCAGCGTGGGGCGCAGCATCTTGGAGCCCGTGTTCATCAGGTTGGCCGGCAACCCGTTGTACCGCTGCACGATGAGCTCCGCGGGGAAGTGGGGGTCGTTTAGCCAAGTGCGGAACAGACCGCCCTCCTCAAAGTTATGGGAGCGACCACCGCCACGAAGTTCCGTACCGGCGCGTCCGGGTTCAGCGCCAGGTAGCAGGCGCTGATCGTCCCGCCCAGGCACAGCCCGTTCAGGGTGATGTCGTCCGCGCCCGAGGTCTCCATGGCGCGGTCGATGGCCCGGGGCAGTATCTTGCAGACCGCTTCCTCGAAGCCGAGTTCCTTGTCTTCCTCGGCAATCTCGCCCCAGTCCAGCAGGTAGACGTCGTGCCCGTGGTCGACTAGGAACTCGATCATGCTCGCCCCCGGCATGAGATCCAGCACGTAGGGGCGGCTGATGCCCAGCCAGGGTACTATCAGGTACGGAGTGGCATGGGCAATCGGTGTCTCGAGGGAATGGTAGCGGTAGAGTCGTGTCTTGCCCCGCTTCCAGATGATCTCCCGGTGCGTGAGGGCCATCGGCGGATCGGCGGGATTCACCACGAAGGCGTCCGCTATCGCCTGCAGCCGCTCCATGTTCTTTTGCGATTCTTCCTGTAATTTGGCAGCGAACTCGGTTGAGTTGACCACAAAGAACTCCTAGCTCTTCTTTCCTTTCGCCGTTTCCTGAGACCACTCGACAAACGCCTCACCGTACTTGACGGCGCTGCGGACTGCTTCCTGGCTGCGCTCCATTACCTGGGCGTTGCCGTCCAGCATCGCCTTGGCTGCAGCGATCCGTCGCTCCTCGATTCCCGCCAGGTAGTCCATCCAGCTCTTGGTCCACGCCTGGTAGAAGGCCAGCTCGCCCTCTATCAGCTTGTTAACCGATTCCTTCGTCTCGGGAGTGAATGCCGGCGCCCCGTTCATCGGAACAGTTGCAAAGCTCTGCATCACGCCTGCGATGTTTTCCCCCGCGGGTACGGACGTGTCCCACAGCCTGCTCCACCACCTTGCCGTACTCGTCGCGTTCCGTCTGGATCGCATCCGTGGCCACCTTCACAGACGTGGTCGTCTGGGCAATACCCGCGTCGGCGGCGGCGAAACCGTTGGATATCGCCTGGTTGTAAGCCTGCACCAGTTCCTCGGCGCTCTTGGTAGCTGTGCCTGCCATCTGGGTGTCCTCCATGAAATTATTCGTTTTCCTTTTTGGGCTCTTCCTCGGGATACGCTCCTGGCTGCTCAGTGCCTCTGCGGAAGGCTGGAAACCGAAGACCTGGGCGTAGAGGTCGAAGAATCCGTTGATCATCCGCTGGTAGCCCGACACGACCTCGGTCCAGCCCAGCAGCATCTGCTCGCCCGCGTCGGTGATGCTGTAGACGCGCCGGGCCGGGCCGCTCTCGCCTGTCTCCCATTCCGAGGCAACCAGCCCCTGGCCTTCCAGCCGGCGCAACTCCCGGTACAGGGTTGCGTGGTCTATGCTCGAGAAACCCATCCGTTCCAGTTGCTGCAGAATCAGGTAGCCGTGAAGGTTCCACTGCTTCAGTACCAGCAGCACCCACGGGGTGATGAAATTCTTCGGCAGCCTGGAACTGCCTGGGATTCCGCTGTCTTCCATATATGTACTTTTAACACATAGATGCATATAATTCAACCGGCACTTGAAACTCGCTCCGGCATGTTCGGTTTTCAACCGGCACTTCCCGATTGTTGCGAGAGAACCAGGGGCTGTAAACTGGATCTTCGGCTGTCCGGAAGGCAGCCGATTTGTCCGTAATCCATATCCGAGGAGAACGAAACAAAGATGCCCGAAGTAACCTCATACGCGCCCGGAACCCCTTCCTGGAATGAGCTCTCCACGACCGATGAGGCGGGAGCCCTGTCCTTCTACGGTGCATTGTTCAGTTGGGAGGATGAGTCCAAAGAAATAAGTCCCGGCTGGTACTACCACATGCAGAAGGTGCAGGGACTGCCTGCATGCGCCATCTACCAGCAGGGAGATGAGGAGCGCAGCCAGAACGTGCCTCCCCACTGGAACACCTACGTCACCGTCGAGAATGTGGAAAACACCATGGCCGCCATCGGCCAGAACGGTGGCCAGGTGGTGTTCGGCCCCATGGACGTCTTCGAGGCCGGGCGTATGGCCATGTGCCAGGACCCCCAGGGCGCCTTCTTCGCCCTCTGGCAGCCCAAGGAACATATCGGAGCCCGCATCAAGCAGGAGGCCGGCGCCATGTTCTGGCACGAGCTGCTGACCACCGACCGCAGTGCTGCGGTTGACTTCTACTGCGCGGCCCTCGGCACGGAACCCGGCCAGGTTATGCAGCCCGACGAGTACGCCATGCTGAACGCCGGTGGTACCGAGGTGGCCGGCATAATGCAGATCACGTCCGAAATGGGCGAGTTCCCGCCCCACTGGAGCGTGTACTTCGGAGTGGAAAACGTCGACGCCGCCGTGGAGAAGGCCCAGTCGCTGGGTGCCACCGTCTTCGTGCCGGGCACAGTACATCGCCCCCTTCGAGGGCCAGCCGCCTATCGGGCGCTTCGCCGCCATGGCCGACCCCCAGGGCGCGCCGTTCAGCGTATTCCAGGCCATCGGCTAGGCAGGCCAGGAACGGGGCCCCTGGAACCAATGTCGTTGTCTTCTCGGCAACCGGATAGGGACCGACTTTCATCATTGCCCCTGCAGCTTGGCAGGGGGCAGTTTTGTTTTTGCCTTGGCACCGGGTACAATCAGCCTGCGATCCTTTCTAGCCAAGCATTGACGGGGAGGCTGCATGACAAGCGCCGCCACACTTAAGGAACTTCAGGATTCCGCCCTTGAGCACCTGTGGGTATACCTGCGGGAACCCAGTGACATGGCCGAAAAGGGCGAGCCCATCGTTTTCGTATCGGGCGAGGGAGTGAAGGTCACAGATTCGAACGGCAACACTTCCATAGACGCCATGTCCGGCCTCTGGCTCAAGAATGTGGGCTATGGTCGGAAGGAAATTGCCGAAGCCGCCTATGAGCAGATGCTCAAGCTGACCTACATGCCCATGGGCACCACCACCGAGCCGACAATTCGCCTCGCCGAGAAGATTGCGGATATCACCCCCGGCGACCTGTCCCGCTCCTTTTTCACCAGCGGCGGCTCCGAGTCCATTGAGACGGCCATCAAGCTCGCCCGCGCTTATTTCAAGCGTGTCGGTGAGCCCGGACGCATCAAGTTCATCAGCCGCAAGGACTCTTACCACGGCGCCACCGCCGGCGCCATGGCCTTGGGCGGCAACCATCTCTATCCCCGGGCCGACTACGAACCCCTGATGCCGGGCACATTCCACGTCCCGCAACCCAATTTCTACCGCTGCGAGTTCAACAGCCAGACCCCTGAGGAATGCGGCGAGCGCAATGTCAAGGCCATCGAAGACACCATCAAGTTCCAGGGCCCCGAGACCGTCGCCGCGGTGTTCGCCGAGCCGGTGTCCAGCCCCATGGGTGCCGTGGTCCCTCCCGACAACTACTGGCCCATGCTCCGCGAGGTCTGCGACAGGTACGGCGTCCTGCTGATAGCCGACGAGGTCATCACCGGCTTCGGGCGCACAGGCAAGATGTTCGCCTGCGAACACTGGGGCGTTACCCCCGACATGATGACCGTGGCCAAGGGGATCACCAGCGGCTATATCCCCATGGGCGGCACGATCACCCGGAAAAACATCGCCGACGCCTTCGTGGGGAGTTCGCGCGTCTCCTTCCGCCACGTCATCACATTCGGCGGGCATCCCGTGGCTGCCGCGGCCGCCCTGCGCAACATCCAGATCATGGAGGACGAGGACCTGGTGGGGAATTCGGCCCGCATGGGCGCCTACCTGCTGGACGGCCTCAAGGAGCTGCAGGAAAAACACCAGATGATCGGCGACGTCCGGGGCCTGGGCCTGATGTGCGGCATGGAGCTGGTGAAAGACCGCGAGACGAAGGAGACCTACCCAGCCAGCGCAGATCTCGGCAATCGCCTGACCTCTGGCTTCCAGGCCAACGGCCTCCTCCTGCGCGGCAGCGACAACATGAACGTCATGCCGCCCCTCTGCGTCACCTCCAGCGAGATCGACGAGATCATCTCGACGATGGACAAGGTCTTCGCCGAAGTCGGCCGCGACCTGGCCTAGCGTGCGTCTCCGTCGCGACAGAGACGAGGGCCTCTCTCACCAAAGAGGGGCCCTCACATTTTGTGGGATCCGGAAAGGACTGCCCGCGACACCAATAGGAACCGGGAGTTTTCCCCGAAGATAAACCGCCCGGCCGTGCCGCGGCGTGAAGCCTATGGCATCGACGCGAATATCTCGGCAAGCCGGCTGACCCGCTCCGGGTCCACCGGATTGGTCACGATCCCTTCCTTCTTCAGGCTGGTGCCCACGATCGCGCCGTCCGCGTGTTCCAGGATTCGCCACACGTTGTGATCGTTGATGCCGCTGCCCACCAGTACGAACCCGTCGGGCACCGCACGGCGCACCACCGATACATCGAAGCTGTTGGTCGGCTGTCCCGTGGCCGGACCGGAGACGATCAGCCCGTCTGCCAGCGCCCTCCGGGTGGTCTCCTGGGCCACCAGGCCGATGTCCTTCTGGCCCATCGGCTCGGCGTGCTTCACCAGCACATCGGCAAGGATCTGCACGTCCGCATTCAGCGACCGTCGGCGGCGGGTGGTCTCGTGGGCCTCGCCCTCAACGATGCCCTCGTCGGTGGCCATCACGCCGTAATGTACGTTCACCCGGATGAACTCGGAGCCCGTGGCCACCGCCACACCCAGGGCCGAGATGGCGTCGTTCCGAAGCATGTTGATGCCCACCGGGATCGAAACCGCCCCGCGTACATGCTCAACAGCCAGGGTCATGGCCGCCACGGTCTCCGGATCGACTCGGCCGGTGCGAAAGGGTGAGTCGCCGAAGTTCTCGACTATGACGCCTTGAGCGCCGCCATCCTGGAGAATCCCCGCTTCCATCTTGGCCCGGTTCATCACCGACTTCAGGTTGCCGTTCCATCTCGGTGAGCCTGGTAGTGGAAGCAGGTGGATCACGCCGATCAGTATCTTTCCCGTCCCAAACAATTCCCGCGCCATATACCAATCCGCCAGTTATAAAATGCGCCCGTTGGAGTATCCGTATTGAGAAAATATCTCAGAACTTGCTGCGGCCCTCAATCCCCGTCATTCCCGCGAAACATGTCCTCGACTCGATTCGGGGAGCGGGAATCCAGTGGCACTTGCTGATTAATCCTCAATGCCATAAGAGCGTGATCGTTTTGAGATAGTTTCCAGGCTTCTCTGTCGTGGATGTCCATGCCGAGGAAAGCGTATAGTCACCGCGCCCGGGACAGAACGGTTCCCGTCGACACTGGTACCAATGGGTTCAGTTCACGATGATAACACACGAATGAACAGTCTAAACCGGGAGCTTGACGGCAAGTTTCCTGTCTGCGGCACGGGGCGGTTTGCCGGTGGCGATGGTAGAATTAAAGGCGACGAATGGGCGGGAGGGACACTGACGAATGCCCCAGGATTTCATCCATGTAAAGGGTGCCAGGGAACATAACCTCAAGAACATAGAGATCACCATACCCAGAGACCAGCTGGTGGTGATCACCGGTGTTTCCGGCTCCGGGAAAAGCTCCTTGGCTTTTGACACGATCTACGCCGAGGGACAGCGGCGTTATGTCGAGTCTTTGTCGGCCTACGCCCGCCAGTTTCTGGGCCGCATGGACAAGCCCGACGTCGACTACATAGAGGGGCTTTCCCCCGCCATCTCCATTGACCAGAAGGGCGTCTCCCACAACCCCCGCTCCACCGTCGGCACCGTGACCGAGATATACGACTACCTGCGGTTGCTGTTCGCCCGCGTCGGCATTCCCCACTGCCCCAAGTGCGGCAGCCCGGTGGCCCGGCAGACCGTTTCCCAGATCGTGGACTCGATAATGTCGCTGGAGGAGGGCAGCCGCATCACCCTGCTGTCCCCCAAGATCCGCCGCAAGAAGGGCGAGCACAAGGACGTCTTCGATGCAGCGCGAAAGGCCGGCTTCGTACGCATCCGGGTCAACGGCGAGATACGGATGCTGGAGGAGACCGACAACCTCAACCTCAACAAGCAGAAATGGCACTACATCGAGCTGGTGGTCGACCGCATCATCGTCCGCCCCGAGACCGAACTCGCCCGTGTCGCCGAGTCCGTCGAGACCTGCCTGCGCGAGGGCGAAGGCGTCGTCGAGGTCCTGCGCGAGTCTGCGGATGGTGGCGAGAGCGAGACGCTGATCTTCTCCGAACAGTTCGCCTGCGCCAAGTGCAATGTAAGCCTGCCTGAGATCGAGCCGCGTACCTTCAGCTTCAACAGCCCCCACGGGGCCTGCTCCGAGTGCACCGGCTGGGCTACAAGCTGGCCGTCGACCCGGAACTGGTCGTACCCAACAAGAACCTGTCGCTGGCACAGGGCGCCATCACTCCCTGGGTGAAAGTTGGGACCTCGGGGGCATGGTACACCAGCCTGATGGAGGCCGTCGCGGAGGCCAACGGATTCTCAGCCAAGGTCCCGGTTCGTGAGATGGACCCCGAGCACGTCGACCTGATCCTCTACGGCAACGGAGGACAGAAGGTAACCGTCAGCCACCGCACCCATCGTGGCCGCACCTACAGCTGGGACACCAACTTCGAGGGCGTCATACCAACCTGGAGCGGCGCTACCGTACCACCGAGTCCGACTACTCTCGCTCCCAGATCGAACGCTACATGTCGGCCCGCCCCTGCCGGTCCTGCGGCGGCAGGCGGCTGCGCCCCGAGGCTTTGGCGGTGCGGGTATGCGGCCTGGGCATCATGGAAGTCTGCGCCAAGAACATCGGCGCGGCGGCGGAATGGGTCGAGCAGATTGACCCCGATTCGGAGTTCAACCGCAACGGGAATGGAGGACTCCCCCACCCTAACCCTGCCCCAGAGGGAGAGGGAATTGAGGTTCTGGGCAACGGACGCCGCAACGGCTCAAAGAACGGTCGCAGGGCCTCCAAGAACGGGAAGGCGGCAGCTCCTCAGGTGCTCTCGACCCGGGACAAGACCATCGCCAACCAGGTGCTGAAGGAAATCGACGGGCGCCTGAAGTTCCTCATGGGCATCGGCCTCGACTATGTCACCATGGACCGCACCGCCCAGACCCTCTCTGGCGGCGAGGCGCAGCGCGTTCGGCTGGCGACGCAGATCGGCTCCGGCCTCACTGGCGTCCTGTATGTGTGCGACGAGCCCACCGTCGGATTGCACCCCCACGACGATCAGAGGCTCATCAATACTCTGAGCCGCCTGCGCGACATGGGCAACACCGTGCTGGTCGTTGAGCACGACGAGGCCATGATGCGTTCCGCTGACTTCATCGCCGACCTCGGCCCCCGCGCCGGCGAGCACGGAGGGCAGGTCGTCGCCGTCGGTACGGTCGAGGAGATCGAGAGATCGGAGGAATCGCTCACCGGCCAGTACCTGAGCGGGCGCAAGCAGGTGCCATTCCCCGAGGAGCGGCGCCCGGGCAACGGACTCTCCCTGACGGTCACCGGGGCCCGTGAGAACAACCTCTGCGGCATCGACGTCGAGTTCCCCTTGGGCCGGCTGGTCTGCATCACCGGCGTCTCCGGCTCCGGCAAGAGCAGCTTGGTCTATGAGATCCTGTACAAGAAGCTGAACCAGCGGATCAACAACGGCCGCGACCTACCCGGCAAGCACGACGACCTGCTTGGCGTCGAGGGCGTGGACAAGGTCGTCAAGATCGACCAGTCGCCCATCGGCCGCACCCCGCGCAGCAACCCGGCCACCTACACCGGCGCGTTCACTCCCATCCGGGAGCTGTTCGCCAACCTGCCCGAGTCACGGGTGCGCGGCTACAAGCCGGGACGGTTCTCCTTCAATGTCAAGGGCGGACGCTGCGAGGCCTGCCAGGGCGACGGATACAACCAGATTGAGATGCAGTTCCTGCCCGATGTGACCGTGCCCTGCGAGATCTGCCACGGCCTGCGCTATAACCGCGAGGCGCTGGAAGTCACCATGCGGGGCAAGCACATCGCCGACGTGCTGAACATGACCGTGGACACCGCGCTGGAGTTCTTCCTCAACTTCCCGCGCATCAGCCCCAAGCTGAAGACCCTGCGTGATGTCGGCCTGGGCTACATCCGCTTGGGCCAGCCGGCGACGACCCTGTCCGGCGGTGAGGCCCAGCGGGTCAAGCTGGCTACCGAACTGTCCAAGCGCGCCACCGGCAAGACGGTCTACCTGCTGGACGAGCCCACCACCGGCCTGTCCTTCGAGGACTGCGCCGCCCTCCTGGGCGTGCTGCACCGGCTGGTTGACACCGGCAACACGGTCATCCTCATTGAGCATAACATCGATGTGATGGAAAACGCCGACTGGCTGATCGACCTGGGCCCCGGCGCGGGTGACAAGGGCGGCCAGCTCATCGCCACCGGCACCCCCGAGGAGCTCGCCGAGCACCCGTCGAGCGTAACAGCGCCGTATCTCAAGGCCGCGCTGGAGAAGTCCCGCACCCACGCCTCGGCGCATCGGGCAACAGAGGAGTTGGCGTCGGTCGTCTAACGCACGGGCAGCTACAATGGAGTGGACGAGCTGGACCTGGGACCCGAACAAGAACCGGGAGAATATCCGTAAACACCGAGTCAGCTTCGAGACTGCGCTGTCGGTTTTTGATGATCTGGACAGAGCCGAAAGAGAAGATGATTACCAGTACGAAGAGCGCTGGCAAACTATCGGAACAGTCGAAGGAGTGTTTTTAGTCGTCGTCCACACGCTGCAGACTAGGGACGGCGACCCGGCACGGATTATCAGCGCTCGCCAAGCAGTCCCATACGAAAGAAGAAGATATCAGGAGGGAATGTGGTCCAGCTGACCGAGAAACAGAGGAGGGAGCTAGAGGCCTTAAGGAATATGCCCGACGATGAAATCGACTTGTCCGACATACCAGAAATTACCGATTGGTCAGGGTTTAGAATAGCGCCGTTCTACCGTCCAAAATGGAAAAATTTCAGTCTGAAGCTGGACAAATATTCCCTGAACTACCTAAAGGATGGACTAACTGACGGGCAGTCGCTGGACGAAGCAGTCAATAGGGCCCTGCGGGCCCAGATGTACCGTAAGCGGTTCCCCGTAAGAGTAGAAAAGGCTGAAAAGACCATCTTGCGGGTTCAGAAGTCGCCAGGGGGAATAGCTGGACTGACTGATTTCCAGAAGCAGCAAATCGAAATACTTTATGGTATGCCCATTGAGAAAGTAGCTTCCTTCCGAGTAGTGTTCACGTCAGGCAAGACCGAAGAAAGAGGTCCAGCGGGCACCAAGGACGTGTGCCTCAAGCTGGACGAAAACGTCATTGACTGGTTCGAGTACGGGATGGAAGATGGGCAGTCGCTGGACGAGGTTTTTAACAAGGCACTGATGGACCACATTCAGTGGGTAAGTTCCCCGAGGAGAGCTCAGCAGGAAGAGGAGCCGGCAGGAAATTCCGTGGAATCAGCATAGCCAATCGCCGTCGGACCAAGCATCCAGCCGCAGGACTTGTAGACTCCCTCTCAATCCGAGAGGGAGTTTTCGTTACAGCTTCAGCAGGCCGGTTAGCGTTTTCTGGCCGCCCTGCGGCCCGACCAGCGCCAGGCGCAGCTCCTCCTGCTGGAAGAGCCGGGTTGCAAGGGCTGAAATGTCAGCCGGAGTGATCGCATGCAGCCTGTCTACTATCTCTTCGACGGAGCAGAGCTGGTCCTGCAGCAGTTCCTGAGACCCCATCCACGAGGCCACCGCCCTGCTGTCCTCCATGCGCAGCAGCAGACGTCCGGTGGCATACTCCCGGGCCTTGTTCAGCTCCCTCTCTTCCGCCTCCACGCGCATCCCGTCCAGCTGCCGCATGATCGCCCGGACTGCGTCGTTGGTCTTCCGCGGCTCCACACCGCAGTAGACCACCATGGAGCCGCAGTCCCGGAAGTGGTTGATGGAACTGCTCACATCGTAGGCCAGGCCGTGGATTTCCCGCAGGTCCAGGAACAGACGGCTGCTCATGCCGTCGCCCAGCATCACGTTCAGCAGGCTCAGGGCGTAACGGTCGGGGTCGTTCAGCGACAGCCCTGGCAGGGCAAGGCACATGTGCGACTGGTCTGAGCGACGGCGCTCTATCTTTACCATCGGCCCTGACGTTTCATTGACAGCCACGGGTTCCCAATCCAAAGATGTCTGGGGTTTCCAGTCGCGGGTGGCATCCTGCAGCAGACTGACGACTTCATCATGCTGCACGTTGCCCGCTATCGCCACGACGGTGTTGGCGGGATTGTACTGGCGAGTCATGTACTCCCGTATGTCATCCTGCTTGATCGCCGCCACGGTGTCCGGCGTGCCTCCCACATCGCGGCCCATGGCCTGGTCCGGCCACATCGCCTCGTCTATGAGCAGGTCGACCCGGTATGACGGGTTGTCGTAGGTCATCCTGAGCTCTTCCTGGATTACCTCGCGCTCCTTCTCGACCTCTTCCGGGTCCAGCAATGGGTTCATCAGCATGTCCAGCAATACTGCCATCGCAGTGCGGAAGTGGGGCCGGGCCACCTTGCACCAGAAGACGGTCACCTCGCGGTCCGTGCTGGCGTTCATGATCCCGCCCACACCTTCGACCGCTTCGCTCACGTCTCGTGCTGTCGGCCATTTCTCCGTGCCCTTGAATGGAAGGTGCTCAATGAAGTGCGACACCCCGGCAAGCTCAGGTGGCTCGTACCGGGAGCCCGCACCGACGAAGATTGCGATTGAGACCGACTGGGTGTGCGCCATCATCGAGGTGGCGACACGCAACTGGTTGCCAAGGACTGAGCGCTGGAACATTCCTACTCCGTTGCAAGAAGCGTTATTGCATAAGGGGCACACGCCTGTGCGCCCCTTCAAGGTCCTGGACAGACGTCTGGTCTAGCTTTCCAGCCAGTCGACGTCCCCGTACTGGTCGGCCGGGTGGGACTTGGAGGCGTAGACCGCGTGGCGGCGCTTGGCCTCGGCGATGGTGGTGTCGTCCCCATGTCCGGGGTAGACCTGCACGTCGTCCGGCAGCTCCAGCAGCTTCGAGCGGATGCTTTCCAGGATGGTCCCCAGGGCCTCCGGGCTGCGGCTCTTGCCCGGCCCGCCCGGGAACAGGGTGTCGCCGGAGAACAGGTGCTTGCCCACCAGGAAGCAGCTGGCCCCGTCGGTGTGACCGGGCGTCACCAGCACCTTGAGTTCCTGGTTGCCAAAGGAAATGACCTGCCCGTCGGACAGTTCCATCTCCGGCGCCTTGGGCAGAGGGCCCTTGTCGGCGGTGGTGATGCCCACAGGGGCGTCCAGGCTGCCGGTGATCTCGTCGAACCCCAACAGGTGGTCCTGGTGGTTGTGGGTGATCAGGATGGCCTTGATGCTGACGTCGCCACCTCGTTGAGCAGCAGTTCGGGCTCGGCGGGAGTGTCGATAAGGATGCCCTCGTTGGTGTCCGGGCAGGACACGATGTAGCCGTTGTTGTTGAAGGGGCCCATGTTTACCTTGACGATACGTACTTCACCATCGTAATGGAGCGCCATGTTTTGTCCTCCGGCAAGGCTGGTGTGTCTTAAGAAAGGGATTTTCCGTCGAAATCTATTCTAGCAGAGAGGCGAGGAATCCGCCGACCGGCTGATGGGCCGTCGCCGTCGGCGACGTCGTCGGCGCGGGGTGTAATCGTATCCGGTTGAATTATACGGTCTGATTAGTCTGATTAAGGCTTGAGCTCAACGTCCTCGGAATCCTCAGACCGCGCAGCAGCCCGGGGAGGATCGTCGGTTTCGATGAAGCACGCACGGTCGCGCGGTGACCGCGCTGCGCGGCCCCGTGGCCCATTCGTCTTCTTCCGATCGATGGGGCGGGCCGAAACGGGCCCGGTGCGCTGTCCACTGTATCTGCGTCACCAGCGTAAGAAGCAGGCCGGGGACGAATATGAACAGGTTGACGACACCCCCCTCCTGCACCCAGCGAACGGACAACACCACCGACGCGATGATGACGAACCAGGCGATTCCGCCAATGAGAATGCCCCGGAAACCCTCGGTGCGGTTATGCCACGGTGAGCGCAGCGTGAGGACGGACCACGCCGGAGGGAAGATGAAGAACCCGTAGTAGATTTCCGGGCGGTAAAACCAGGGACGTGGATAGTCCGAGAGGTTCTTGATCGGTGTTGAAGCCATAACGGAGGGCTTGGGGGCTAGTTCCGGGCCAGCAGCATCTGGAACTCGATCTCCGGTATCTCTCGCTGCTGTCGGATGGAGGCGACGGCGTATTCGGTGCACAGCCGGGCGAACCCGGAGTATTCGAAGACGTTGTGCCCCATGACCACTATAGGCACATCCCGGTCGAAGTCCACACCCAGTTGACCGACGTCGTCTTCATCTATGCGAAGCTCGATGTCCCGGCCGGTGAGACGCTCAATCTTTTCCTGGATGCGATCAACAAACTCCTGGTCGTTCACTGACTGCTCCTGCACTTTATCGACGGGTGTTGGCGCGGCGGACGCGGAATGACGCGCCATCCTTCTGCTTGCTGGCCCACTTCAGGTATCCCGCGAATTCCGGGTCCACGCGCAACCGTTCCACAGAGTAAAGTTCCTGGGCCAGGGTTTTCTCGGAGAACATGGCATGCAGTTGCCGGTGGCAGGTGGGGCAGAGGCGCGCCTTCGGCCCATACTTCCCGCCCCTGGAGCGTGGTACCAGGTGGTGTTCGGTGAAGCGGACCGATTCTCGCTGGCACAACTCGCAGACTGGCGCTTCTTCATTGAAGCGGGACCGTTCCGTCGCTTCAGCCGCTGCCCGACTGCGCCTGGCCAACTGGCGTCCCTACTCCGTTTGCCCGGCATCCGGATTGTCCGCCCTGGGGTTTTCCATAAACCGCCAGCTCGGCAGGTCCACCCTCCATTCTCCGTCTTCCATGATCATGGGCAGGATCAGCCCGTTCATGGCGCGGCCCCGGCGCACCTCGGTGTTGTCCTCCTTGATCCCGAAGGGCAGAAAGGCAAAGGCGTGCTCGTCATCAATGTAGCTGGTGGGAGATATGCCGAGATCCGTCAGGTCCTCCAGTGGCCAGAGGCTCAGGACCGTGGTTCGGAAGTCCTCCAGCATTTCGGCCCGCATGGGATGTTCGGAGTTGTACCCGGCGCGATACGCGACCTGCATGTCGATCCGGAAGCGGGTGGCCCAGACCCCCATCCGCATTCCGCGCGTTTCCTTGGAGAGCATGGACCAGGCCAGGTTCATGTCCCCATCCCTGACAGCCTCGGCAAACATTCCTGCCCGGTTGCCACATTCGTCTGGGAACGGGCTGCGCCTCTCGCCAGGTATGGGCATAAATCCGCCTCTCTAACAGCCATCTCTCCATTGACGGAGAAGGCCGGGGTGAGGGTGAAGTCCCTCGCTGCCGTGTTTCCTTTCGGGGTATCACCCTCACGGTGGTTGGTGCCTTCAGGTGAAACAACCGGACTCCTACCAGCCGATGGCGTAGCCGTCCCGGCGGGGATCGGCCGCCCCGTGCAACGCTCCAGTGTCATCGTCCACCTGGATCATCATTTCGCTTCCCGACGCACCCCAGCCGTGCATCACCTCCAGAGTATGCCCCCGTCGGCGAAGACCGTCCAGCGTCTCGGTTGGGAACCGCGACTCGACATACAGCAGGTTGTCGCACTCGTGGGGGATGTTGGACTCCGTTGGGCTGTGCGTATTACGCCAGCGTGGGGCTTCCACAGCCTCGGCCACGGTTATCCCGAAGTCCAGAATGTGGGTGATGACCTGCATATTTGTCTGCACCTGGGTGTCCGCTCCCGGCGTGCCGCAGACCAGCGCCAGGCTACCGTGGCCCGACGAGCCGTTGGATGCTCCGTTGGCGGCAACGCCAATTCCACGGAAGACCATGATGGGATTCATGGTGTGGCGCACCCGCTTGCCCGGCTGCAGACAGTCGGGGTGGTCCGGGTCCAGGTGCCAGTAGGTCATGCGGTTGTTCAGCAGGATGCCAGTGTCACCCGCCACGATGCTGGACCCCAGCGAGCTCTGGATGCTCTGGAGCTGGCATACCGCGTTGCCCCAGCGGTCCACAACCACGAAGCAGGTGGTGTCCTCTTCCTGCATTGCCCCCGTCGTAGCGGCGGCCCTTGGGCGGCGGCCGTAGTTGGCCGGCTGGTAGCTCCACGGGTCGCCGTGGCTCACCTCGGCGGCGGAGCGCTCCGGGTCGATGAGCTTGGCCCGCTCGGCGGCGTACTGCTTGGACAGCATCCCAGCGACGGGCACATCCACCCAGTCGGGGTCGGCCATGTACGCCTCGCGGTCGGCGAAGGCCAGCTTCTTGGCCTCCACCATCAGATGGATGCTCTCAGGCGTGTTGCAGCCCAGCGACTCCAGGTCGAACTGCTCCACGAGGTTCAGTTCCTGCAGCAGCACATGGCCGCTGGAGTTGGGCGGCGCCTCGTACACCGTGTGGCCGTGGTAGGTGGTGGATATGGGCGCCTCCCACCGCGAACGGCAGTCTGCCAGGTCCTTCAGCGACAGTATCCCGCCCTGTTCCTGGCTGAACTTCACGAGGGCCCGGGCCGTTTCGCCCTCGTAGAAGGCGTCGCGTCCGCCTTCAACAATGGCTTGGAAGGTGCTGGCAAGACCTTGCTGCCGTAGGACATGGCCCGGCCGCATGGGAACGCCGCCCGGCGCGAAGACGGCCTGAGAGTCCGGGAACTCGCAAAGCAGCCGGTCGCCCGCGATGACCCCGGACAGGACGTGCGTTACCGGAAAGCCGTTCTCCGACAGGTCGATTGCCGCGTCGAACACCTCGGCCCGCGAAAGCGTGCCGTACCGCTAGTGGGCGGCCATCCAGGCGTCCACCAACCCCGGCACCGACACCGACAGGATGCAACCTTCTTCGCAGGGATGCTTCGTTCTTGCCCTTTCTCTTCTACCTTTTTGGTATCCAGTCGACGGCGGTGGCATAGGAGCCGCGCCGGTGCCGTTGCACACCTCGATGGTGCCGGCCTGCCGGTTGTAGATCATGATGAAACCTATGTTCCTTTGAAGACAGATGCCGACATATTCGTCGAACGGACGGTTCAGGGCGGCTTGTGGTGGCCGATGGGACGGCGTATCCGATGGAGTTTGCAGCCACGCTGCAGCACGGCCATACGGCCGCGCGCAAGCGGGTTGCCCTGGGCGGCCAACCATTACCTTCTTTTATTCCGCAACCTTTCTATGACCACTGGATCATATTTGGACTCAAGTTCGCCAAGCCCCATGCTGGTCTGTCTGCGCCATTTTCGGGTTTGCCTCGGTTTATGCTCGTCGCTCGATTGCTATTTGCAGACGATTCGATTAGGTAGTTTTGAGCAGTGGAGCCGGCAGTCAGATGCGGTCCAGTTTTTTTTTCGTTTATCTTTGTTTCTTTCCTGCCTCCATGCTTTATTTCTCCTGGCATACTGCTTGATTTTCTTCGAATGGCCGCGAAGGCTCGTGCCTTTTACATTTGCCTCTAAAGACCCTACAGCAAAGTCCGTGCTTTACACATTTTCGTTATGGTGTCGTTGCAGATTGACCTTGCCCAGTGCCAGTCCTCCCGGCTGAATATGGCTGTGTGTCCTTTCCCTCATCTCGGGACTTGTGAGTCCGCCCGTCTCCGTCTTAGTTCACCTTAAGTTCGCCCTTGTAGCCGCCCGCAGATGAAGTCTTCGGTGAGCGACTCCCGAAAACAAATGTACGGGGTTCGCACAGCCAGAGAAGCCAACCTTGTGTTTAGGACAAATTGGTTACTGATCCTCCCTTGTCTGAACTGTGGCCAGCTTCCCGTTCCAGTTTCCCAAAACGCGAGCTCATCTCTTCTCGAAGAGTATAAAAATGTAGGTTCGTAAGTTATTGAATTTCGGTAAAACAACAATCGCCGTAGGTATCGCGGGTACCCTACGCCTAACTGGGAGTAGTTCCAGCCAGTTCTCGTGTGTTTGCCCGCTTTGTTTGCAATACTCGTAATTGATTCTTTTGTAGATTTGGTCTGTCACAAAACAGATGCGAAATCGTTCTCGTCATCCACACGGCCTTTGTTCATTGGTCATTTCCAAACGTGCCACCCTGTCTCGCATGCCACGAATTTACTATATCTTTCTTCCCTTTTCATCGGCTTGTGACTCCCTCTGACAACGCATCACTGCTACCCCCAAACTGCTCGGGCTTTTGATGCGAATTCTTTTATTCATTGGTCAAAGCGCCCGCTTGGTTCGAATGTATTTAGTTACGTCACGGAGGGTCCTTCTTTTCTTGTTGTTTTTTTCGCAGATCAGTTCTGGTTATTGATCTGGCATGCGTTGAGATCGAGGTGCGTAGTATTCGACACCCTCACCCTGCATTGTTAACGCCCACGATCCACAGCGCAAGCGGGGGGGGAGGATGCCGCTGCGCCGACGGGTGGCAGGTGGACTCCGGCTCCTCAAGGATAGAGAAGGGCGCGGGATAAGAAGGTATTGAGGAACAGGATTAG